TGGCAGACGGATGGGCCTTTTGTTTCAGTAGAATCTGATAAGAGCTCTGTGTTGGTAACCTGGGGAGCTATGTGTGTTGGAAGAGATATTTAATCCCCCTCAAGTTGGGGAATTAGGAATGCTTTCATGGGAAGGCATACCAAATTGAGTCTTGAACGACAACTTGAGTTTGCTGGGCGAGACAGAGATGTGAACCATGAGGGGATAGAGCATTTCTGCCTGGCCTAATCAGATGTTACAAAGCCCTCCCTGGCCTGTATCAGAGCAGCCTCTCCTCTTATCTGTTTGCTCATGTTGTGTGAGATTCCATTGAACACTATTTTTTTTTAAGATTTTCTAAATTTTTTATTGGAAAGGCAGATTTACAGAGAGGAGATACAAAAGAAAGATCTTCCATCCACTGGTTCACTCCTCAAGTGGCCACAATGGCCAAAGCTCAGCTAATTCAAAGCTAGGAGCCAGGAGCTTGTTCTGGGCCGTCCATGCAGGTGCAGGGTCCCAAGACTTCTTTTCTAGGCCAGAAGCAGGGAGCTGGATGGGGAGTGGAACAGCTGGGACATAAACTGGCACCTATATGGGATCCTGGCCCGTACAAGGCAAGGATTTAACCACTGAACCATTGTGTAAGGCCCCGCAACACTTTCTAATGCTGTAAAAAAAAGTTTGAAAGTTATCACAGTGGGGAATTAATGATGGAGCTTGGTAACTTGTATTGACTCATGTAAGTGATTATCCAGTTTGGGATGGCCAGAGTAATAAGCTGCTTTGAGAAGAATGCAGTTCTCATAGAATATTCATATTGCTTTTGTAAAAATATATTATCTGCTGGTAATTTGTAGAGCACTAATACAATTGTATGTTAAAATGATCCACAAACTCATTTAAAAAAATTATTGGAGAAGGAATGAGGGAGGAGAAGGACACTCCTGTATATTCTCTGCTCAGATGCCCTCAGTAGCTGGGGTTGGGCCAGGCCAAAGCATGGGGTTGAGAACTCCATCTGTGCCTCCCATGTGGGCAGAGGGAAGCCAGCTACTTGAGTCATCACTTCCTCTTTCGTCTGTGTGCATTAGCAGGAAGCTAGACTCAGGAGTGGCGCTCAGACTTGTTTGCAGGCACTCCAAAATGGGATATGGATGTGCCAGACAACTAGTAGGCCAATGCCTTCTGCATACAAATTATTTTTATTAGAATCTTTTTTTTTCTAATTGTTTTCTTCACTTGCTCTTAAGCAAACAGAAGGCAGCTTCTCCAGGTTAGAGTCATTGATTTTCATAGAAGCTGTCAATCCTGTTGTTTGCTTTACTATTAGTCTGGCAGGAAAAAAGCAAGCCAAACTCAGTTTTTGCTACTATGCCCTCATGGTATAGATCACCTCTGTGATCCCAAGAACATGCGGGGATTCTCCCCACCAGCGGCACACCATCCGTAGAGCTGGATATTTTCTAAATCAGTTCAGTTCTGAAACTACGTGAAAATGGTATCAGACCCCCTGCTCTTCTTGGCCTTTGGATGGTGGTTATAAGCCCCGACTTGTTTCACTTTTGATTGACCATAAATTGAGATTCCCATGATCCACTTCTCAGGTTTGATTGATTTGTTTCAGTGATTTTCAGCTCAGGGAGAAAAGACTGAAGTTTACCGGTTTATTGCAGACAATATTACAGAGGTTATTGACATGGAGATGTGTAGGGTGAGGGATGGTGGATAAATGGTGGAACTTCCATGCCCTCTCTAGATGTGCCACCCTCCAGGCACCTCCATGTCTTCAGCCCTTCTCAAGCTCTTCAAAGCCTGTCTCTGGGGAATTTTTATGGAGACTTCAGAGCATAAACATGAACTGAAGCATGAACAACAGTTTTCAATGTCATTGGAGAAAAAGGGTAGCATATAACGCTGGTGGACTTGGTGCTGAATCCCAGGAAGGCCTGTCTGTTTAGAATCTGGCCTGTGCGTGTAGCATTTCTTCCTCTTGGATATGGAGTAGGACTGCTGCTGAAGTAGGACACCCTTACCATCTTCCTTCAGATAAGGTAAGTCAGAGAAATTCTTGGTAGTTGGTAACTCCAAGGCAGGGGAATATTGGAATTTCTGTGACTCAGCTTGGGGAAAAGAAATTCTAGTTGTATGGCCTGTCTTGGAGAGGGAGTTATGAACTAGGAACTTTGGATAAAAGCCAACATATATAGAAAGATAAAATATGTTTACTATGTGTTTTTCAGTAAACATAATCTTGAACTCACTGTTAACACCTTAATACTTTTCAAAGTGTTAAATGAGAAAATTATCATTTAAGGGATTTTCTTTTTTAAAAATTTTTGTTTTATTAATTACATTGCCTTATGTGACACAGTTTTACATTGCATTATGTGGCACAGTTTTATAGGCACTGGAATTCCCCCCACCCCTCCCCAAATCCTCTCCCCATGGTGGATTCCTCCACCTTGTTGCACTACCACAGTTCAAGTTCAGTTGAGATTCTTTCATTGCAAGCATATACCAAGCATAGAGTCCAGCATCTTATTGTCCAGATAAGCTCAACAGTTTCTTGGGGAGACCATCTCTGGTTTGAAGGTAGAACTGGCAGAGTATCATCCTGATCGATGAAAAGTCCCAACAGAACATCAGCAACAATTTATAATGTGTGAAATTAATTGACATGATATCGAGTAACCAGTATGTTAAAAAAAAAATGCAAGTTCGTAACCACATCCTGTGACTTCTTCATTGACATTTCAATTTTAGTATATATACAATTGGGTTCTGTACACCTTAAAATGGCTATAGATTACTATTCAGCTGTCTCGTGTCTATTTTCATTATAGTATTTTGCATTTTATAGTGTTGAAGCATAGTTTTGTTGAATCTGGCTTTTTTTTCCGGGTAGTCTAGACTGGCTTGTAACTCTAACAAGATATTTGTTAACAGTTTTAGGAGGGGTGTGCAGAGAAATCTTCAGTACCCTAGTGAGGAGTAACTAATCTTTGTGTCCCACCTAGTGAGGTATAAGTGAATCCTCGCTGACCGTTCCCTGTCTGATTTTAAGCTTTCCTTGTTCTCTATTCTAGATTTTTTGTTTGTTTGTTTTGAGGGATTTCCGGAGTGATTCTGATGGAAGGGATTTTCGTAAGCATGTGAAGTCTGTCTTCTAAAGTGGAGCTTAACTCTTGAGTATATGTGAGAGTTGTTTGTAGACCTTTTAAAATACCTGCTGAATAAGACCCTGTAAGGTGTGAGGTGACAGGCAGTTCTGATTCCTAGCTGAGCACACGAGTAATATTTCCTGTGAATGTTTCTACATAGACGATTAGACCTCAGAGAACTCTTTGTAAATAGAAGTTCTTTTCATTTTGAAGTTGAATGTATGTTAGTTTTGTTGTGTGAATAAGTACTTCCTAAAAATGGCTCAAGTGACCATTTACTAAATCTTATTCTGTGCTTTCCATTCTTAACCCCTAGCATATCTGTACATGCCTAGAAATGTAAGGCATGGAAGTGGGGAGTGTTGAGAAAAATTACTAAAGAGGCAGACCTTGAAGAGTCTTGTTTGTGATATGAAGCACTTAAGAGTTTGTTGTTTAGGTAATGGAAAGCTATTGGATTTTTTTTAAGTCAGGAGAGCAGTATGAGTAACTTATTAGTGAAACCCAACTTTGTCAACTGTGAGGTTCACAGATTATATTGGGGAAGAAAACTGTGAAAGAGACTAGTTGGGAAGCAAGTCTGTGCAAGAGGTGATGAGTAACAGTAGGGGTTAAAGAAGATTGAGTTCTACTCCTGTGGCTGCCTGTTCTGGTTTGGGACCTTAAGTTCCAACTACTGACTCTACCTTTTAACATCAAGACAGCTAAAACTAGAAAGTGTACCCAGGAGTCATCTCTGACAGTCTTAACTCTATTTTGATGATTTCTCTGTATGTTCCTTTATCATACTTTGACTTTTCCTTTTTTGGGGGTGGAGAGCTATTGAATTTCACTGTCTCATTTCTTTGACATTGACGCTTAGCAAAGTAGCCATATATATATTTTTAGTAATAGCTGTTACTACTATTAGGTCCAACTGTCTATTCAACGCACTGTCCCTTAAACATGTCAAACTAAGTTTTCCCCTTTGGTTTGTGTCCTTTGCTGTTGGGCTTTCCCTTTTCTAGAATAATAATTCTTTCACCACATTTTTGGGTTTGGGATTTTTTTTTCATAATTTCTCCAAATTCAACTCTTCCACAAAATTCTTTCTAATTGCCCCACCAGAGTCCTCTCTTCCTTTGCCACTTAATTTATATCAACTGGTATATCAGTTTATGCTATTTTGTTATGTGTCCTGCAAACTTAATTTCTCTGCCTTTTTGGGTTGGGTAAGATGTTATATATGTCAACATATATAATATATCCTTTGTAAATATTAATCATTTTTCCTTAAATCTTTTTTAAAGCATCTTGGCTATACACAGTTAATTTTGCTCTGTAAGATCTAAAACCTCACTTCAGAAATACTTTAAATTGTTAATAATTTTAATCATTTCAGCTTAAGCAAGAAATATTATGCTTAATTTTCAAATAGCTTAAGTGAATAATTTAAAAACTTTTTGGGTCTCTAAAATACAGTGTATTTTAAAGTTGAGTGCTAGATTTGACTGAATGTAAATCATAAGATTTATATTTAAAATGCTTTAGTTAAAGGAAAATATTTTCATTTGTTCCTTATGTTAAATAAAAAGTCTCGTGACAAAAAAAAGATTTTTTGTTTTGGATTTTTTTTTGTTGGCCTTTGGAATCACTCAAAGCATTTAGACCTCCTCTGGTTTGTAATCCTGTTAAATTTTATCCGTGAATTAAGCCTAATTGTACACAGTTGGTAAAAGCTAGAAAAATTTGATGTACAATAGAAGTTTACTCATTAAATTATTAAAGCATTAAGAAATGCTGAAGTTCTTTGTGTTACAATTAAGAGGAAAATTTTCTTTGGCAATTAACTAAATTTAATTGTGTATTTTTCTTTAGCCCGTATGTTGTAAAGTACTATGGCAGTTACTTTAAGAACACAGATCTGTGGATTGTTATGGAGTACTGTGGAGCTGGCTCTGTTTCAGACATTATTAGATTACGAAATAAAACAGTAAGTATTTTACAATTGTTTTGTTAATCTTATTTCTAAAGATTCATCTTTTAGAATCTGAAAAGGTAGTATTTTGTTACAAAGAAAATATTAGCATGAATAAAGAAAGTTTTCAACAGCATAGAGACCTGGAGGGAAGTGTGTGAACCACCTAAAGATCTTTGCACGGGATGTTTATGAGTTGCATGGCTGTTTATTTATTAGGGTCTATTTTGGTAAGTCACTGTCATTCATCTGGAATCAGAATGTGTGGTGATTATTAGTGTGAGTTATGCTTAGGGGTGAGCTTTTGATGCAGTATTGAAAATGCCACTTGGGACCTCTGTCTCCTATATCAGAGTGCACAGGTTTAAGTTCTGGCTCTAGCTCCTCCTCCAGCTTCCCACTCCAACTTCCTGTTACTCTGTATTCTGGGAGACAGCAGGTGATGGCCCAAGTGCTTGGGTCTTTGCCACCTGCCTGGGAGACCCTGGTTAAGGTCCAGCCTCTTGGTTTTGACCTGGCCCAGCCCTGGCTGTTGTGAATTTTGTGGGGAGCAAACCAGTGAATAGAAAGAAGAGCTCTCTGCCTGTCTTTGTCTTTTCTCTGCTTTTGAAATAAAGCAGAATATATAAAAAATATTATGGCTCTGTTTATTTTCAAGTTTGTAATATTTGTGGTATTTCCTTAATTTTTCTGTAATTTATAACTGGAAAAAAGTTGAAGTTGTATGTTGTAAATTTTTATAAATAATTGAAATGAATGTTTTGCGTTTACTTTCCAAAATATTGTCAGAATGTGTGAAAGTGTAGATGCATCTTGTTTGTTTGGATAATTTTTAAGAATCAAAGTGATCTTTTCGCCTTTGAATGACTAAGAAGAATTATTGGTGAAATAATCTGAAATTCTGCACAAAAGTAATTCAATGATTGTATGACATTATTATAAGTTGTCAGACATGTTTCAGTAAAATACATAAAAAAATTCCTTAACTACTTGAGTCAATTTGTGGTTAACCAGAATCATTTTAAACTTTGATTGGGTAAGTATGTTGTAAGTTTATCCCACTAATTTTTTTTTCTGTTAGAGAAAATAAAGTAAACAGGATTTCTTTACAAGGAAGTGAAACAGAAGTTAAAATAATCCCTGTTTTGACAGAATGGATTAAGTGATCTGTGACATTCTAATTATGTATTTTAGAATTTCTATGGTGCTTAACTAGCATTTATGTAAATCAGATGGTCCTCAAATGGCAAAACAATGTTATAATTGAAAATAATTTTACTCCAGTCAGAGAAGTATTTTAATAATCTTCTCAGAGTTGAGTTGGAATTTGTATATTTGGTTTTAAAATGATCCATTAAGAATGTAAAATAAAAGTGAAATGGAAAATTTAGACATCTAGATTATGTTGGTTTGAAGCACCAATGTTACCATTCTGAGTAGCTAAAAAGTATTGCATCTAGTTTTCTTGTCAGTAATTATAAACCGTGAATGGATGGATGGGATCCTGAGACTTACTCATCCCCGAAGGAGAGCCTTCACCCCTTCATAATCATCATCAGGTGGCTAGAGGAGTCATATTTGTTGCAGTCTTACTCTCATAGATCTGTTAGCCTTGATTCTGGAGTGGAATGGGAGGAGTATAATTTCCTTATATATGAAAGGAGACTGAGCTGTTTCAAAGCTTGATCAGGACTGTGAATATATTTTCTGGGCATTTCCTTGGTAAGAGTTCCTGTTAAATCTCAAGAATATTTGTTTCTTTGCTTTCCCGGATACCATATGTCTTTTTTTTTTTTTAAGGTTTATTTATTTTTATTGGAAAGTCAGATATACCGAGAGGAGAAGAGACAGAGAGGAAGGTCTTTTATCCACTGATTCACTCCCCATGTGGCTACAATGTGAGGGGCTGCTGGGACACGAACTGGTACCGCATGGGATCCCAGCATGTGTAAGGCGAGGTCTTTAGCTTTTACGCTACTGCACTGGTCCCCATATGTCTTTTTATTATCTAAAAAGAGTAATGTCACTGTTAGAGTTGTCAATATAAGGAAATTTATCGTCCCTTAAAAAAATACCCTAGGATGGGCATTGGGCTCATGTTTCAAATATTGCTTAGTATGTCTGCATTCTAGTTCTGCGTTCTATTCGGCTTCTTGTTAGTATACTTCATTGGAGGTAAGGTAATATCACTCAGGTGCTTGGCTTCTTGCCTCTTGTGCGCAGACCAGATGGAGTGGTGAGCTTTTGGCTTCCATCTGACCCAGTTCCAGCTACTGCAGGTGCTTGCGCAGTGCCAGCAGCTGAAGCTCTCGCTCTGTGAGAAATAAAATTAAATAAATGAAAATTTTAAAAAATTAAGTCATTGTACATACCTGATTATTTTATGGAAACACTCACCGTCTTAGTTTCAGAGATAACAGATTAGCTAGTGAAATGAAATGGTTGTAAATTATTTGTGAACTAGATATAAAAAGTCACACTAGGAATTTTTTCATGATCACAAAACAATATTTTGTAAGAGTCTAACAATAATTAATATTTTCCTAAGACTCTAGCAATATGTGTGATAACATATTATTTCACATTACTTTTGAACAATATATTTGTTGGGTAAAGAATGCTACATTGGCAGCAGTCTTTAACATTTCAAGATGTCCTATTATCATCTAGTTATTGTTTGTACTGGTAAGTTTCACTGTTGCTTCTTATATGGTAATCTACTATTTTTCTTTTTCTTAAATTACTCTAAAGATTTTTACCTTTGGATTTCAGAAGCATTGATTTGTCTAGATGTAGTTTTCTGGTAGTTACCTCTTGCAGCTTGTTTCTGAGGCTAAATATTTGCTGTCAGTTTTAGGAAATTCTGTTATTCTATTTTAAATGTTTCCAGACCATTCTTCATTTCTAATTCTGCAATTTTAATAACCTGTGTTTTAGTTTAGATTAAAAAAATTTTTTTTTTCTGTATTTGTTGCTTTGGGTTTTCCACATTTTTAAGTCCTTCCCCTCTCCCCTTCTTAAGTATTTATTTATTTTACTTGGAAAGTCAGAGTTACTCAGAGAGAGCATTTTCCATATATTCATTCCTCCATGCTATGATATGTATGTTTTCTTCTGATGTTTTCTGTTTCTCCAAGTCCTCTCTTCCTGTGTCTAAACTGCTTTTTAGTGATGGAATTTTTAAATTCTAGTTTTTTCTTTGCATTCTTTCTTTCTAAAAATTTATTTTTTTATTTGAAGGGCAAAGTTATAGAAAGAAGGAGAGATGGAGATGTTCCATCCATTGGTTTAGTCTCCAAATGGCTGTGATGGCCAGAACTGAGCTGATCAGAAGTTAGGAGACAGGAGCTGCCAGGTTATTCAAGGTCTTCCAGGTCTCTCATGTGGCTTCAGGGACTCAAGGATTTGAACCATTTTTCATTGCTTCCCTAGGTCTTAAGTGGGAGTTGGATTGGAAGTGAAAGAGCTGTGACAGGATAGTGCCCATAAGGGCTACCAGTGGCACAGGTAGAAGCTTAGCATGCTATGCCACAGTGCCAGCCCTCCTTTGGATTCTTTAAGTTTCTCTTGGGGCTGGCACAGTGAAGTAGCACATTCATTTTTTTCCTACCATGCCATCATTCCATTTATTTGATAACTTCACAGCCTCATTTTCTAAAGAGTCTGTTTCTAGTATTTATTGTTTTTCTTGGTTTTGTTGTTCATGTATACCTGATTAGTTATTTGCACTCTCTCCAACATTCCTATAATCTAATTAATATAAAAAGGTCCTTTCTGGCTTTTGGTATGGATTCTTGCTTAATGTTCTAGTTCTTTCTCTTAATCAATTTAGTCATTTTACCAGTTTTTAATCTTGTCTCTGAAACACATGCTCTGTATTGGGTGTGTTCCTTGGTGGGCACTTCTCACTGATTTGCTGTTTTTCCCATGCCTTTTTATTCTCTCTGTCTTGAGGCTTTACTTAGCAGAGCCCTTGAAATGACTGCTTTGGGATTGTATTTACCTCGAGTGAATTAAGGTATGGCCTGTTAGTGTAAAACTCTGCTAACAACTTGAACACTTGTCTTCTTTAAATAATGATGTAAAACCATGATGATTCAAACTCTTATTTTTGTGATTGTTTCAAGCATGTTAGTTTTGTAAACAGTAAAAGGAGATTGCAGCAAGGCTGGATACTCACTTCTGCTGGGCTTAGGCAAGACTGTGGTTCTGATGCAACATGGAACTATTGGGAATGGGGAGCTCATACTTAGATTATTTCATTTTTTAAAAAAGATTTATCTATTTATCTGTTTATTTTTATTGGAAAGGCAGGTTTGCACAGAGAAGAAGAGACAGAGAAAGATCTTTCATCCATTGATTCACTCCCCAGATAGCTACAATGCCTGTTGCTGGGCTAATGCAAACCCAGAGACCTCCTCTGGGTCTCCCATGTGGGTGCAAGATCCCAACGCTGTTTTTCTAGGCCACAAACAGGTAGCTGGATTGGAACTGGAGCACCTAGGACAGGAATATGTGTCCATATTGGATGCCGACACATGCATGCCAAAGATTAGTTACTTGAGCAGGCATTTTTATTTTTTTATATATACTGTTCATCACAGCCATTTTCATATTAAATTTCTGAGCGGACGTTGTTTCACAGTGGGTTAAGCTGCCATTTCTGACACCAGTCTCCTGCATGGAGAGTCCCAGCTGCTTCACTTGTGATCCAGTTCTTTGCTAATGTGCCTAGGAAAGTAGTGGAAGATGACCAAAATCCTTGGGACTCAACACTTATGAAGGAGACCCAGATGGAGATCCAAGATTCTGGATTTGGCCTGGCTCAGCTCCAACTGTCATGGCCACTTGGAGAGTGAATTAGCAGGGGGATGATCTCTTTCTGTCTTTACCTTTCTGTGTTACTCTTTCAAATCAGTTAATCAGTCTTTTGAAAGAAAAGAGTAAACTTTCTCAGAGGTATGGATATGTCATTTCTTTATTAGAAACTTTCCTTTTGAATCTTGGGTAACTAT